CCCGTTTGGACCCCCCCAGCCACAACACAGAGAGGAGGCACACACACACCGAGAACACTCAATCCCCCACCTCCTCTCCACTAACTGTCTTACCAGGCCAGGTACGCACAGTCCTTAGGAAGATCAACCCCCGCAAAGCGGCAGGAGCAGACCACATTTTGTGCATACAAACACTGTAGCAACATGTTCAAAGAAAGAAATTGGACAGTACTGTGAGTACAGCTGTTTCACTTAAGACACAAATAAGACACAAGTGCTAATAAACAATATATTACTGCTGAGATAGCTTGGACTTTGAGGTTGGGGTTGGTGAGGTTTTTCTGACTTTCCAACTGGAAACCTGGAAATGGTAACTTCCCAGTTTAAAGGGAATGCACCATTAGTCTGAGGGTTCAGTGTTCAGGGTGGGCATTCACTGGGCCTGAGAAAGTATTATGAGAGGAGAGTAGTTCTTTGGAGATGTCATGGTTATACTGTTAAATTGTGTTCAGCAAATTCCAGATAAGATTAAATAAGGAGGTGTTTCAACCCTACTCTTTTTTTACCAGTCTATATAAACCACAATGTACTCATTAATCATACAGATCTAAAAGGAGATGTGCACAAAAGTTGAGAGGAATACGAGGTCATTTGCTGCACAGTGTGACACCAGCGTATTGCCTAAAATAGATATGACTGGGCATGTAGATGGGTGGATATACTGCAACCTTCATCTAAATCCTAAAAATAGAAAGCCCATGGAACCCAGAAAGTACTTTATTTGTGTTCTTGTAAATATCAATTTGTGGTTAGTGATGCCCACACCCTGAAACACCCAGAGAGCCAAATACAAATATTTGAACTTATGATATAACCATTGCTGTCAAACTCCAGTAGCACTCTGCTGCTGGGTGAACTTGTTTTTAGTTTCTGTGTAGATTGGCTGTGGCAGTATCAAAAGCTAAACCACATCAGAGATTTATTTTATTTTATATATTGACAGCCATGTTACAATGTTTAACATAAATGTTGCCTTTGATGTATTAAGTCAGAGTTAGTTTAGAGGCATCTAACATCTTCAGTAGGTCACAATTAAAACATACTGTACATATAATGGCTTATTGTAGAGAAGATCACCAGGACTCCACTGCCCTCTCTGCAGAGCATTTACCACTGCAAGATGCATAGGAAAGCTGCCTCCATCTTCAAAGACCCCACCCACCCCCAGCACGGACTGTTCACCTCCCTGCCCTCTGGCTGGAGATTCAGAAGTGTGAAATGCAGGACCACTAGACTGAAAAACTCTTTCTTTCCCTCTGCCATCAGACTCCTAAACAGCTGAGGAGTTTATTACCAGGAAATACATGTTGTACTGTTTACATTCTCAGTTTGCACATGCATAATTGCACATTGACTGTTGACTGCTGCCATGCAACATACATTCTCATATTATATTCTTATATATTTTTATTATATTGCTGCATTTGCTGCTTAAAATGCCTTAGATTTTGTGTTACTTAAAACTTTATATTTCACTTGTATTTTTGTGGCATTCATGTGGACAGCAAAGTAAGAATTTCATTGTACAGGGAAACACGTTTCCTAACTGTGCATATGACAATAAACACTTTGACCTTGACCTTGACATGGACATGGACGAGGGACACACACACATTTGTATTGATACTTCAAATCGGGGATCTGCGTTCTGTCCAAGTAGACCAACAGTTCCCAAGCACTGTGGCACATGCGCAGCACTCTGTAAACCGACTGCGCCGACGCAAACTTTTGGCCTGCATACTGACATCTGCAGAATCCGCATGACCACTTACGAACATGGAAAATGATAAAATTGAAATCACTGGACCTTAGCAAGCCTCTTATTTCACAGCACTTCCTGTACACTGAATTCAGGCAGGTAAAACCATTATCACATATGAATGAGTTTTTGAGTAGAGAATTGTGCACAAATGTTGAATGTGGGTTATACTTGGCCTCTCTATGTAAAATGTGGCCCCTTTGTAGCCCCGATTTAAAAAATCCTAGATCCACCCCTGGCCAACAGTATCTGCAAGATACAGAACTGACTGTAAGAATACACGGATCCAATAGCTTGGGGGTTGGTGGCGATAGCTTCGTTTGGTTACAATCGGTTACAATACATAGAAATAACAAGAAGACGTTTTATTCTGAAAAACTGGAGGCGGAAGTGTGTTTTATTGTTGCTGATATACAGTCTGTGGTGATGGCGGAATAGACTTGTCTTGACGCTAATGATTACAGGCTGAAAATGAATCCGGACTTTCCAGTAACAACGACTGGCATTTACGTATTTTGAAAGGTATTTATTGATTGTATTGTGTTGTCTGAAACGTTTCGAGTGTTTGCCAGAAGGTAACGAAAGTATTTAAAGACTCTTCTGGAAAGCTAACATTAGCTAGCTAACTAGTTCAAGCTTCTAAAATGGCGGCTTGTATAGGTTTTGGGTAGGGTGGCTCTGTATTTCTCGATTTAACGCTACACCATAATTTGTCCGAACAGATATAGCATGTGTTCTATCGTGTATCAAGACTATTGCATATCTGTGTGGTTTTGAGGTTTGCCGATTTGGAACACTAACGTTACGTGTGCATTTACCCCGCTTTTAAGAGCGCAAAGCTACATGCTATACGGTTGTTGTAGCTAATATTTGGCCTGGTTCTAGAGCAGGGTTCTCAGCTGTGCAGGCCCATTACGAACGCACATCAGCGGGGCCTTGCGAGTGCTCTTGTGCAGCAGTTGAACACAGTAACAGTTGTTTCATTGGGTATTTCAGTATTAGATGACTACCTGAGTCATACTAGAATACTTAAAAAAATATGAGCAAAGTATATACGACAGAAAGGTGTTGGATACCCAGTTCTTTTCACCGTTAACTCTGAGAGACGAGGCAGTCCAAGTAACTTCAAAACAGTGCTGATTTATTCAATGAACACAGGTAAAAATTAACATTACACGCTCAGGAGTCTTTGCACCTCCAACATGCACGCAGGCAGCTGAAAGATGAAAAGCCCCGAACCATAACAGGCCTATACATTATATCACCTCGGGCTAACCCCATACTACAGGGACGCCAAACCGTGACGCCTCCCGGTGCCAGCTTTGCAGCTGGCCATAGCAATTGTCAAAGCATGAAGAAAATCAATGTGCGAATGTTCGTTGATTGTGTTGTGTGTATCTAAGACATCCTGACATGACATTAAGCATAAGAAAATATTATGACTACGATTATGGTCAAACACGTCATAACAATAATATTAAACATTCTGTCTCCTAACAATAATCAAATTTCTGTCTTTTATCCTTGAACCTGAACAAATGTTGTGTGGAAATGAAGGCTATACTGGTAGGGTTTTCCTACAAATGAAACACCAGCCAATCGCTCTCTCGGTCTGGTTTTGCCTATATTCATAAAACCCAGGCTACAGTATGTGAATTTTCCCAAGCCTTAGACTGTTTAAAGAACCCGTGGCGTTCTCATTTCCAGCCATTTAATGTTTAATCTTGGGTACATCTAGGTTAGCTTTGCACCCATCATTACTCCAAATAGTCTGCAATTATTTCAGAACAATAAAACCTGAGAGCCTCCCCCTAAAAGTGAGAGGATAGTTTGTGAATGTGCACAACTCCTGCTGCCAGTGTTGTGTAGAAATCTGTTTTCCCAGTGAGATCCATCCATCCATTATCTATACTGCTTATTCCTGAATATTCCTGGTCACATCTAAGATGATAATTCACCATTGTAACATTGTACATAAGCCAGAAAACAAGGCAAGGCATGCCATGGGCTCTTCAGTGTTATGTTTCTAAAGCACACAGTGCTGACATTTTCACCATTTCTGGCATTTGACTTTATGTTGCTGCCCAACAGACACTCATTTGATCACGACTTGTCTATGTTATGCATCCATGGTAGTATAAAGTTAGTGTGAAAATTATTAACTGTGTTCACAATGGTAAGAACAAAGCACATTGCAAGCATGACAGTACAAATGTTAACCCACGTGTTCTGTTGGGGCTCAGTGATGCAAGAGTGAAAATAATTATCACAAGTTTTATATTAACCATTTTTATATCTTAGATTTTTTTCATGTCCTCCTGAGGTTATTGAATCCCACCAAACTAAAAAATTATTTTATCACTACCCATTTGCTTTATGATAAAGTAAGGGATCACAAAAGAAAGACAATGAAATCCAGAACTTCATTTTTTATGTCTTTTGAATAAACAACAAATTTAAGAAACAAGATGTATCTCAGATGTGTCCTGCTCAGATTCACTGTTAGTGAAGTAGGGCTGTCCCAAATGGCAGTTTTTGGGCTCCGGATAGTTGGTGGTAATAATTGCCAAATATTCACTGCGTGTGGGGGTTAATGGGCTTACATTGTACTGCAGCTAAAAGTACCTCTTTGCCCATCTGGCAGTACTTTGGGTAAAAAAAAAAAGTGTGCACACTGAATGTGCGACATTTCCATTAGTGATGTGAGATCATCCGATAGTTTTACCAGTGAATACATCTCACTCTGTTGGAGTTGTTGGAACAACAAAGACGTGCTCAGTTCACTTTGATTATTCAGTGGTGTTACAGAATGATGCCTCTCTACCTCATAAATGATCTCTGGCTAACAGCAGACAGTGTGTTGTCTGTTTGTCCACCAGCTGCAGTGAGGTTACAAACCTGACAACAGTCACTTTCATTTTGTCCTATCATCAATTTAAGTCACAGAGTTAATGTTAGCTAGTAACAGCTGGTATGGCCCTACTCGTCATTTTAACTACGCCTCGCCATTGTTATGTATGTGGTGCACTGCGCATGCTCTGCGTGGACGTCTGTGGTGCGCAGCACATTATGAGGGTATGCCAAAGGTTCCAAATTGTTGAACTTTGACCACAGTTGTGCACGCAGCCAATCGCTCTCTCGGTCTGGTTTTGCCTATATTCATAAAACCCAGGCTACAGTATGTGAATTTTCCCAAACTGTAAAGACAACTTATTTAGCTGGAGAAATATCAGCACACAAGTGCTGCTGCCAAGACTGTTTAAACAAAACAAAAAAAAGTCTGATCCTCTAAAACATAACATTGGTGATCTGCTGCTAACAACATTAGCATCGTAGCTGTGCCATTGTGTACAGTACCCCTGGGAATTTCTAATTTTGGTACTGACCAGCACAGAATGTGCAGCGCAAGATGCTTGTTTTTCTGCTGCAATGTGAATATGCCTTCACTGGCACTGTTGTGTGGCAGTGGCACCTTTGGGCTGAAGAGGCAAACAAAATGTACAAAATGGCATGGCTACAGTGCTGATGATCCTAGCAGTATATCACCAGTGTTAGCCTTAAAGCTGTGCCTGTTAAATAATGCTAGCTAGCTGGCATGTTAGAGCGGGTCATCACATCTCTGAAAACATTGGAGCAAATTTATAATTGGCCTCACTAAAGATCAACTACTTTTTGTCCAAAAGGAAATGTTTTATTTCAAATTACAGTTAAGCCTATGTAACACAAAGTCATATGTAAAATTTAGTAAATCAATGGGCCTAATTAAATAAAAATATACAGTATGTCTTTTAATGGCAGTTAAAATAGCAGTTTTTTATGGTTTGAAAATTGTGTTAAATTGCAGTTTTGATTTGAAAATGCTTAAATGTTCAGCCCTAACTGTCAGTATCAGATACTTCAAGTAAAGCCAGATTTAGACTTGTGCATCACTGAATATATGGGAACATGTATCTGTTGTTTGGAGATGGTTGCATAGCTGTTTCATTTATACTTGTGCATACTTTAACGTTCACACTAGGGGGTGCTCAAACAGCAAAGTACAGAAAAAGAAGAAGAAGACGTCAGGGGACAGATATGATAGAGAGTGAGAACATAACTATTTAGATTGAGAATAGGTGGTCAGTCTACCCAAGCAATGCCAATTTGCTCCTACGTTTTCAGAGATGTGAGTACATTATGAGGTGTGAGCAGGCAAATCAAATCAGTCTCGGGATTTTAAAAACTGATATTGAATCATTCAAATAAAGACCATGATTTAAAGGAAAATCAATACTTTCTTCCAGCCTTTGTGTATGTGAATAATAAATGTACTTCAGTTAAATGTTGCATTGCTTAGTTTTGAATTATCTGAGTATTTGGCCTATTCTTGAACCAAAATCTGTTAATGCTTTATAGCAAAATTATCTTTCTTGTCTCTGGTACATATAGTTTTGGGCGAACATGCAACCTCACCTTTTTTCTCCAAATAATTGGTCCAAGGTTGTTCAGTTGCAGCTGGCTGTGAGACCAGTGCACAGGGACTATCTCCAGCGTGGAGGACGGCTCATTCTGATTAAAATTAGGCTGTAGCTTCTTGTCTACCGTACTCTGGGCGTTATATGTGTTTTAACAACATTTCACTTGTGACGTACTGATGCAGGTACCTGGAATCTTTCCAACATTAACGAAATCTTGGCAGTATCTGCTGTCATTGCCCTCGGGGCACTCTGTAATTAGCATCCTGTGTAGTAAACTACCATATGGAAAAATGTGTACACATGTACACGCTGTCAGAAATCTGCGCGTATTCATTTATGAAAAATTGTAAATGTTCCCACCCCTAATTTAGACCACCTGAACCATTGTCGGGGACTCATTTGGTCTTGCATAATGCATTATGTCACACAGGTCTACATGATGTTTTGTTAATCTTCACCATTTTAATATTTGCATTTTACTGGCATTATGCTATGAAAATGGAGCTATAGTTTACCTGGTCAACTAAATTTAAATTTATTTTGAGTTTGTTCCAGGACATGGTAAGTGTGATTTATAATTTGTAAACAATACAGTAATGTAATATTGCCTACTGGGAGTATGTTTTAAAGCACAATTATATGATTTCTTTTTTTTTTTCTCTAACAGTCTGAGGTTTAGGCTTTTGTGTAATGTCTCCATAGTTTTAATCTATATTTACCACTTGGGTTTTTCATGCTTGTCATTCATTCAGTGTTGTTGCATAATGTTGCTTTGTTTTTCCATCCTGAAAGAAAAGCATTGGTGGCACATTTGACTACAGGAAAGGGATCTCAAAGTTTACCACATTTCTTTATCCATATGACATACATATATTACATATATTATCAGGAAAGAAACCATAAACCAAATGAGGACCAAACCAAAACCAAAGTTCACCAAGTGAACTTTTTATTTAAAAGCAAAAAGTGTGTGGAAAAAGGGACTTCATCTGAAAGCTACTTTTGACATGAAACATTAAAGCTTGTTCATCTGTAATAGTATATTTCTGCTTTCCACCTCAGCCTTGCTGTGCACACAGACAGTAATTTGCATCTTGCTCCTACCCTTTGTTTGGAGCCCAGAGTGACATTCTCCATTGCCAACAGCACCAGAGGGACCCATTTCATATTTGGACCTGTGGCTGGTGCTGGTGCACTGACAGCTCTTCGATTGGCTCAGATAGAGACTTGGGCACAGCTTGCTCTCCAGAATCTTGCTACTCCAGCAACTTTAACTGTTGGTAACCGGTGTCACAACAACAGGTTTCCAGCAGCATTACCTTCTCACCTGGCCCTCCTGAGTCTTCTCAATAGACAGGAGGTGTCAACTTTTGGATTTGACGTGGACACAAACAGCAAAAACAACAGAATCACACAACTCTGTTTTCCTACTGCTATGTACCACCACCATTCTCAGCAGCAGGGGTCACAGCCCTTCTCTAATGGGCCAAGGCCTCCTCATCACCAGCCACCTCCTAATCAACATCAAAATCGCACTCCATCTGACATGCTGTCGCAGGTAATGGGTTTCCAGTTTCCTCGTCCCACTCAGCTCCCTGATGAAATAGAGTCCGCCTTAGCTATTCGGGGCACCAGAGACATTGACCACCGCCTCATTGACCACATGAACCAACCAAGCCAACACCAGAACCAAGGCTCAGGTTCTGGGGTCAGTCAACATGGGAGCTATGGTACCAACCCAGTAACACTGCCCTCTGATAATCAGCCTGTCCACCAGCAAGGAGTAGACTGGTCAGGCTACCAGCCTCCAACTAAACTGTTTGCCAGTCCTCCACCTACTGCTAGCTGCCAATCACAAGAACACCAGGGACCTCAGCAGCAGCCCCAGAGCAGCCACACAGGACCAAGCATCCCAGGATGGACTGCCCCTGTAAGCGACTCTCCATTGCCTCAAGCCCGGCACCCTCCTGGTAGTGGGAGTGGTGGAGGTGGGGATGGTCAGAGTTTATACACACCAGAGTGTGCAGGAAGTATTTTGGCTAGTTTTGGGCTTTCAAATGAGGACTTGGAAGTGCTGAGTCACTACCCTGATGATCAGCTAACCCCAGATACTTTACCATTCATATTGCGTGACATTCAAATCAACAAGTCGGGTAACCAGAAAGCTATGGCTCCTACTTCCTCATTCTCACACAACATCCATGATTTGCCGCTGCCTCCTTCCCACTCATTGGCACGTTCAGAGTCTCCGGAAGTGCCCAGCCTTCTTACTGTTACACAAACAGCAGGTAAAGTAATTGACTATGGTCATGCCAGCAGGACAAATGAAGAGAGCAGTACCAGAGAGACTTTCAAAAGAGGGCCACTTTCCAGTGAAAGGACAGTTAAAATATACCCATCATCATCCTCCTCATCAGCTACAAAAGCAGAAAAAGCTGAAAAGCGGCAGGTCAATGTGGAGCATATTGAACCAAGCAAGCACGGAGACCGTGACTATCGCAGGACAAGTCGTGACCATCGCAAGAGCACCCGGTCACCCGGGAGAGAATTTCCACCATCAACCAAATCTCGTAATCTAGACCAAGACTACAGGCGTGATGGGCCCAAACCAAGGCCCTTGTCAGAAACCCAGAAAGAGGATTCCTCGAGGCGGTCTCTCTCCTCTTCATCTGAATCAAAGCCACCCAGCAGCAGCAAGAAGTTTCCTACCCCCACCATGATAAGTGATTTCTCAGCTGTCTCTCCAAAGGCGTATCCCCACACCTGCTCCCTGTGCCACATAGAGTGTGATCAGGAAAAGGTGAGTGTCAACATGCCCTCGTACAATGTGCAACAGTTTCCTGAAAGAAATGCCTTCATCTCTTGACTTGTAGTTTATAATCTTTCTTCACCAGGCACTTATCAAGATGAGTGTTTCTGATATCATCAGAATTGGCTTTATTTGCCAAAAATATTGGAGACACAAGGAATTTGACTCGGAAAAGTTTTTGCATAAGTTGTAATTCCCAGTGAAATAAATCTGTACAGTTTTTACTGTAAAGTAAATAATCTAGATGTAGTTTGATAGATCCACTGGTCAAGTTACATATTTTGTTGATTTGTGATGTGAAAAGAAATCAATGCAATCAGGCATTTAAAAATTAGCTTAAAAATGTTACGTGTGTTGCACGTGAAAATGTTTGGGCATCCTACTAAGGCCCTTTTCAGACATGAGGATGCATAACATTGCTGGCTTCTTGAGTATGCTTAAGTGTTGGATTTCTCTTGTTAAAACATGGGAAACTTTACAATAATTCCCTGTGGCTCTGTTCTGACATATCCACTGCCATGGCAGAGAGAGCCAAGTTACTGTATGCGTGGGTGCAATCTACCATACCCAATGGTACAGTAGGCCTACATCAAGTTAAGTATAATGTGTGACACCAGAGTTTTCCTTCTACAACATGGTGGATGAACCTAAGTGTGTTCCAGTAGAATTTATATTCTTGTTTTTGTTGTTCAGAACACCCCCAAAATAATCATATTTCTTATTGAGCTGAGCAACTCAAAGAAATGTTGTGCTTATTCATACATGAAGCCAGATAATGTAAAGGAGTGCATGTCTGATAGGGGCTTAAGTTAGTATGTATTAACCCCTTTGCTTGCCTCAAATATCTTTTTTTTTTTTTTTTTTTTTCATTAAAGAAAAAGCAACAGCGCATTAGTATTTGAATGCCAGCCGATTTTGACGTTTGTTTGCTGCAGGGCTTATTTTCACTTCAAAAATCAAATTATGTGTCCTGAGGGGTTGCCTATTGCATACCCACTGTAACTGGAAGACGGCAAAACCCGTTCAGTAATGAGTGCCAAGTGGTCTAACGTGCTCTTGTTCCTTCTGAAAGCATCGAGCCAGTGCATGTGGCCACTATCATGCCTGAAAGTTGTAGTTAGTGCTGAAGTGCTTTCACATGCAGCGTTGCTAAGATGCAAACTATAAGAATGCCTACATTTACTGTACTTTTTGCATGTCTTTCTTCCTCTTAGTGGATCAATTCTTTTGTTAAGAACAAAAGTATGATGTGATTTATTTGACAGTTGCCTTGGACTGTTATGATCATAGACGGTGGTTACCGTGTGCATATCCTACCACAGCACCACCCAGGTTTTCTCTTCGCTCAGATTAGGATCTTCTGACCTCAGTAAATTGCAGTGAGCAGAAGAACCTGGGCTATGATATTTTTGGCTGCTGTGACAGACACTACAGCCATGCTTGTCTGCAGACAGCTGTCTGTTGAAGTAAAATTAGCCAAAATATGCCAGAAGATTTGCTCATTAAATGAATGACTAAGTAGATCTGTATTTATCAGGCATCCATAGTTGTCAAAGTACTAGACATGTCAAAGGTTCAGCTGAAATGTACAATGACAGAATTCGGTTAATCAAAACATTAAGTATTTAATGACCTCATGCAGTATCAGTGAAATAAAAATTCTACCCACATTCCAGATTTTTGACTAATCCTGGTGCTTCACTCATTTCATCTAATAAAACAAACTGGTTTCTTCCTAACTGATATTCTATTGAATTTTTTTTTCCTGGGTTATAACCAGCCCCACTACAGAGTTTAGTCATGAAATGCATCAAGTTATCTTCTATGGCATTTGAATGGTGTTACATTATGTATTAATGGACAAAGATAATTTAGCTAAAACACAACATTCAATAGTAATTTTGTTTGAAGAGAACACTACATTCAGTAAGAATAGTTAAAAAGTTGAGAGAAACTGTCAAGAGGAATTATCAAGGGATAATAGAAGTATCTTAGTTACATAATTACTGTTGAATAAACTCTGTTCTCTGAGGAAATCCAGGGAGTTTTTGATGTTCTCAAAAGTATTCATACCCCTTGAACCTTTCCACGTTTTGTCACATTACAACTACAAACCTCAGTGTATTTTATTGAGATTTTATGTGATAGACCAACACAAAGTATGACATAATTGTGAAGTGGAAGGAAAATGCTATGTAGTGTTCAAGGTTTTTTACAAATGAATATCTGAAAAGTGTGGCTGTAAGAAGTTCAAAGCTTGGGATATGTTTTTATAACCTAATCCTGCTTTAAACTTCTTTACAACTTTATTCCTGATCTGTCTTCTGTGTTCCATAGTCTTCATGATGCTGTTTGTTCTCTAATGTTCTCTAACAAGCCTCTGAGGCCATCACAGAACAGCTGTATTTATACTGAGATTGAATTAAACACAGGTGGACTCTATTTACTAATTAGGTGACTTCTGCAGGCAGTTGGATGCACTGGATTTTATTTAGGGATATCAGAGCAAAGGTAGCTGAATACATATGCACGCCAAACTTTTCAGATTTTTATTTGTAAAAAAAAACCTTGAACACCATGTATCATTTTCCTTCCACTTCACAATTATGTGATACTTTGTGTTGGTCTATCACATAAAATCCCAATAAAACACATTGAAGTTTGTGGTTGAAATGTGACAAAATGTGGAAAAATTCAAGGGATATGAATACATTTGCATGGTACTGTAGTTGGGTGTGGCTGTATTACTTTTAAATATGGCAAATGTGGAATTTTTGAAGGTCTGGTATATTCAGACAAAAGCTATTTTACTTTTCTTCTCATATTGTGTCATTAAAGGATTTTTATTTGTCTGTATAAAGGTTTTCCCAAATTTACAAAAATGTCATTACCAAGAGGATTGTTGAAGCTTGATGAATAACGAGTTTTTTTTTTTAGTCAGCCAGCCAATTCGATGTCATGATCTCTCTAATGTGCTCTTTTTTTTTTTATTTTTTTTTTTTTAAATGACTTCATAAGGTCCTGTAGTGTTTGTGGCTATCTAGCTCTAAACCACTTGGTTTATCATAACTGCTTTAGATTTGTCAAAGTTGTTTATCTAAATTGTCAAATATATGACGAGAGTTTCATATAACATGGGCAACACATTGGTTAATGAGCAAATAATGATTTATCCTCCTCAGTCCTCAAAGCATAACTTAGGAAGTCACCTGAACAGCGATTTCAGCACGAAGACTAAAATGGCCTTTTTTTTTTGTTTGTTTGTTTGTTTCTCCCTGTAATATGTAGTGTATTAATGGTGAAGATTGATAGTTCCACTAAAGATAGTGGAAAGTAAAATGGATACACTGTCAAGGGCATGAATGATCTGCTGCTCAAGAACAAAACTAAGCACTGTATTGTGCTTCTGCTTTATCCGGAACATCATTTCAACATAAATATGGGATAAATGAACTGGGCCTGAACTTTAAGGCCAGGGTTTTCAACCATTGTTAAAAAGTGACACCAGGAAACAATCATCCTTTTGTCTGATTTTTTTTTTTTTTCATGATAGATAAATGAGTAATGTGTGCTTAAATTTGACTTATTTTGTATATCCTGATACATGTGAAACGGGTTTTGTGGAGCCTTATTTCTGGCCGTGTGATTGTGACATCTTCCTTCGGTTTGTCATTTTTCTTCAGGACTGGGTTGACCATATTAACACCGTCAACCACACGGCAGCCTGCAGAGACCTACGCAACAAGTGAGGACTTTTTAATGTGCTGCTGAAGCCTTGCTTTTATAGTATATCTTTAGTATTATGTCATTGTTACTTAAGAGAGTGAAAAACTCAACACTAAAAACATTGTTTTATAAAGCAGTGTTGGATAACAATGAAACAAACAAGTACAATCCAGATTACTATGTATAAATTGCTGATGTGTTGGCAGAGAGTTGCCTACTTGGACAAATATGGGTGTTCCACTGCAGTTGTTTCTGGCTGCACAGTTTACCAAAGTCCAATATTAACCTGCCTTTTTGCTCTGGTTTAGTCGGCCATATTCTGAGGAAAAAATAATACTAAGTGATGTTTGTGTGTGTCTCTGAAGGTACCCATACTGGAAACCAATTCTCCCAAGGTCAGTTAAATGCTTCCTTTTATGTTTCAAACAATGTGTTTTTAGCAATGATCAGCAGCCGGTGGAAATCACTGCTTCATTTGGCGGGTCCTAAAAATTTGACACAGATCTTACTGAGCAGTTCTGTTGATTAACCCATTTAAAATAGATATAAGGCATAGTTAATGTCCATGTTTTAGAACCTAAAATGACAGAAACAAACTGAATAATCTTCTCTTAAATTTTGTTACAGCACACATTTGCTACTTGAGAGTCTGTACCTGCTAGTCAATAACAGCCTTTTTTTAAATATTGGCACTTAAATGCACAAGATTTGTGCACAACCACTTTAAACAAATGTCTGGTAAATGTTTCACAATCTTTTAAGTCTTAATCAGCCATGTTGTTCAGGCAGCACAAAAAGAACAACAAAAACACTGATTTGTGCAAATGGAAGCCTTCAGACCTTCAATTGTCATAACTTGCATCAGACTGGCTGTTCTCTTTTTCTGTAATTTCAGGTTTTGTACCTGTCAGTGAATGTTGTGAATGAATGTCTTTTTTCCAGTCGGAGCGGACGATATGGCAGCCGGGCTCTGTGGGATCCCAAAGATGGCTCTCCATTCCGTCCCGGGTCTCGATCCCTCTCTACTTCTCCTCCCCCAGGTCCTCCTCACAACACGCAAAGGGTGGCACCCCATCCCCACAGGCCACGTGGGAAACCTTACTCTCCTCCCCATCACCTTCGCCACCACCACTATGCAGGTAGACCACATACTAGACAGTAGGCACAACATGTGCATAGTGGAGAACTATTGAACCTACTTGACATTGCTAATCCACAAAGTTAAAAATAATATCAGAATGTTGACAGCTGATTAGCAAAAGTGCTACTGGACTATTTGGTAGCTATAGTACTTTCTAAATATTGTCTTTATTGGCTCTAATCCATTTCCATTCCTTTGTTTGTTGTAAACCTTTTGACTGAAGGTACACCAAAGGTCAAAAATAGATTGTTGTGTTCTTTTAAAACAGGGATGTTAGTTCTTAAAGCAGTGTGACCAGTATATAGCAGAATGATGCATACAGATTGGCAGTTTATCAAATGCCTTGGCATCCCTACACTGATGAGGTTTTTCATGTACTGGCCAAACCTTTGTCTGAACAAATCTCTATTGACACTTCCACAAATATAGAGAAAAATAAGGTTTGATGCTGGTTATTAATTGTCTACGTTATTGGCAAATAATCATGCTCAAATAACTCAGGTCAGGAAAAGCATGTTTAGTATAGTATACATCAGGGGTGCCCACACTTTTTCGCCTTGTGAGCTACTTTTCAAATGACCAAGTCAAAATGATCGACCTACACTAAAAATACTACATGCGCGCACAAAATATATGTATGAATGAGTGTTGTAGTTTTTATGAACAGTCTGAAAGTGCCGCTCCACATTCCCTTCTTCGGAATAGTGATGGTAGATCAAGCAAATGCACTTCGAATGTAACGTCACGAAAAAAAAAGTCCTCCCATTC